AACCAGGAGGAGAGGGGTTCCTACTCATACAAAGTGCCTCCTCCTGCTGGTCGGCAAGCCCAGACGTGTTTCTAGAATGGAGACAAAGAAAATGTGTGCAAGACTCCAAGGCTAAGGACTCTACACTAGAGAGGCAGCTATCCACAGGCCCGGATGCACAACCCAGGCTGGTGTGCATATGTTCACAGATGTCACTTGGTACCCGACGCTTTGTACCTCCCTACAGTGTGGTGGCCCTGGAAGAGAAGTATTGTTACTACTCCTCTTCCTAGATGATCTATCTAAGTCTGAGATGACTCCAGATATATGTAATCAGACTATCACCTGTCATACAATGTCATGTGTGGCCCTAAATACATACAGATGCCTAAAAAGGTGTACCAGCAAAAAACACATTGCTATGTTAACACTCCTGCTAGAACATACATGTTTCTCAGTGATAAGAACAGGGATCAGAACACTTAAGCAATATTCTCCAACCAACAGCCACAACAAAAGGGCCAGCATACAGATATGCCACTGCTCCTCTGTAGTCTATTAGGGGCCATCCTAACTCCAGCCTGGGCTTCCAATTCACAGTAAGGACACAGTCTGTCCTCTGGAAGCACTGGCTGTGCTGCCGTATGCATGAGACATTTTCTGCAAGTCTTTCTCTTATCTTTCCTTTTTGGTACTATGGATTGAACCTAGGACCCTTCACTGAGCTACACTGCCAGCCCTTTTTAAATTTTTTATTTTGAAGATAGAGTCTCATTAAGTTGCCCAGGCTGAGGTCAAACTTGCCATCCTCCTGCTTCAACCTCCAGAATGCTGTGACTGATTATAGGCATAAATCACCACACCAGGCTACTGCAAGTCTTCCCCACCCTCACTGTCACCTACAATTTACCAATGAACAAGGAGCGGCGGGTGCAGGGCCCCGTGTCTCACAGCCAGGTGGGAGTCTATGTCTGGTTCCCCTGACTCCAAATCCATATTTCTACCACGCCACATCATGTGTGTTGGGTGTCTGTTTAATAGCGTTAAAGATTAGACACCTAAGAATCATAGTTACTACATTCTAATGGAACAACAGAATCTGAAACGGGCAGAAAAATAAAAATCCATATTCCAGTTTTGTCAGCCATTTCTCGCACATGTCACTGCTGAGCTGGAGGAGAGGCACTGAGGATTCAAGGAGGATTCTTGCTTACAAAAGGCTCAGTGGTCCCAGACGGGAGCAGACAACATGGTCCTCCTCCCTCTAAGAAGCAAGGGGTCCAATTAGAGGAGCAGAACACTCCTCCAAACAACCTTCCACCTGGGGCAGAAGAAAGCTGGGTGCTAAAAGTAGTCTCACTAAGAAGTGCCTGGGAACGAAGGGGGCCATTTTTCTAGCCAGAGGGAAATGCATATGGCAGCTGCCTGCCTCCAAGTATTTGCCGAGAAAAACAGGAAAAGCATTATTTTAGATTTGTATTAATAAACTGGGAATATACTAACTTGCAAATGTCAGCTATCCTACCAGGTGTCCTCAATTTGTTGTTCTTTATGCAGGCAGTGGTTTCAAACTCCCTTCCAAGGGGCAACTGTAAGGTGGGAGGGGGAAGAGAAGACCTCGCCTGGGCTGGAAGGAACTCAGGTTCCTAGTGTGTAACTGCCTCCTTAGCTCCTAGCACAGTCCCTGGCAAAGTAAGTGCTTAATAAGTATCTCGAATGAAAAACAAGAAGGAGAAGCTTTGAACTCATGCCCTTAGTCAGCCCTAAGAACCCAGCTTTTGTTTATTTTAAACATGGGGGTCTCCAACTAAGATTCCATCTGGGCAAGACAGCCAAACCACTTTTACAAAAAAAGAACCAAAAAAAGACACAAGATTTATGAATATCTCTATATTTGCTCTCATTTTTTGCTCTAGCATGACATCCATCCAACATGAAAGGTCATTAAATTGAGCTTACTCAAACTCTAGCAAATTTCCAAGATCCCAACCACGTAGACTCATCCACGTACTGCTGAACCACATCAATCAGGATGCGGCCTGTTCAACACTATAGCCTGCAGTCCAGCTGGGTTTGACCAATAGGCTGGATCATCCAGGTCTCTGCCCAAGACTGGAAAAACCCTGGCCACCTCTCAGTGCAGGGGCCACAGAACAAGCCAGCCCTCCCAATCCAAGGGAAGCTTGGAGAGGGTATTAACTGACACCAAACACCTCTTGACCCTTAAGAGCTGGGAAACAAGGCTCTCTCTGGAAATGTAGGTAGTGCTGAGAGTTGAAAAGCTTTTATAGACACTGGGAGAGAGGGGCAACGGAGTCAGAGGAGAAAGTCAAAAACATAAGCTTGACATAAGCTAAACATAAGCAATTTTTCTAACTATATTTGTAGCATCAGCAAGTAATTCATGAATAATCTGTAAATTTGGCGGGGGAGTTCTTTTTGAGACAGGGTTTCACAGTACAGTTCAGGTTGGTACTGAACTCATTCTGTAACCCAGGCTGGCCTTGAACTCCCAGTGATCCTCCTGTTTCAGCCTCCCAAGTGCTGGGATTACAGGCATGCACCACCACGTCCAGCTCCTGAAAATTCTTATTAGTTGAGAGTCTCTCCTTTGAAGACATTAGAAAGAAAAATGGAATTGTAGTATATTGTTATCATCCCCAGATAACTCAAAAGAGATTCATTCAATCAATTCAGTATAAGGAAAATTGAAGAAGTGGTATCTGTGAGGACCAACGTGGAAGATATGCACCAGGTGAATAAAGATGAACACATCTAAGCCACCTAAAGATAGTTTTTGGCAAGAGGAGAAATACTGTGAATATATAGCAGAAAAACGAAACCCCTTCAGGTATAGTGTCAGAGTCTTTCCTTTGAGACATGCTTGTTCTACCACAGGATCTTTGCACATACTGTCTACCTTCAAGGCTCTTTCCCAGCACTGGGCATGGCTTTTTTCATCTCCAAGCCTTCACTATACAAGCTAAAGAAGCCTCCTTCCTTCACTGCCTCTTAAAACAGCTGATGTGTTTTTTTTTCTTATAACTATCCCATTTAATACCTGTATGTTTCCTGTTTTATTACTTGATTCACCCCTTAATAAAGTCACAAATTTAAGAACCACAGCTATTAGGGTTGCCTCTGTATATCCAATCCATGCCCAGGTTCTGGCACAGAGAAAGTACTCAATCCATAGTCACCGAAACCTGAACTCCTAAGTGGATACATGATGAAGAAGGACAAAAGTATCTCACACAGAGTAAAAGGGGCAGGGACACAGGGATAGGACTGTGCTGACATGTAGGAGGCACGCTAGGCAGAGCATCTGGCTGGGGTGCAGGGAAGTGGAAAAGGCAGGATGAGGAGAAGCAGGGGTTTCCAAAGACCTGGGGTGTGAACCACCCTGCGGACTCCAGCCTCCCCTGTAATTACAAAGGAGCCCTTGCAAGTTCTTAACACACGTTCAAAACATCATGCAGGGTGCTCCTGCAGGAACCTATGGCCGCCGGCCACAGGCTAGCACAATCATGTGGACAAAGCATGCCAGAGTCCTGAGAAAAGAGAAACTCAGCAAGGGAATGAAGCTATAAGTCACAGAACTCAGCAATCAAGGGCTAGGTGAGCTGAAAGTCAAAGGCCAACCAGGAGGACCAGGCTTCAGGCCTGAGTGCCTAGACTGGGGTGACAAAGCCACCAGATGCAGGCAACAGAGGAGGACGAGCAGGGACGACAGGAAAGAAGACATGTTCCACGGCAGAAATGTCCACGCAGACATCTGAGTGCAAGGAGGTTCTTTGTGAGCGTTTCTTCCAGGAACCCAAAATCAAGTACCTGGAGAGCCACAAAAAAGATGAACTCAAAACCAGGATATCACAGAGTGCTCCACACTGAGGTGAAAGGAGGAGCCTAGGTGGTAAATGACTTAAGAAAAAAGTACCCACCCCAAACACCAGTATCGTGGCTTTTAACCAAGTAGGGAACTAACCAGTGATGATGGCCAGCCTTTCCTCCTACAGAAGAAGGAGAGTGCCCCAGCTACAAAGTTCTCAAAACAATCCCAGCAAAAGACTAAGCACTACTCCATGCAGGAAGAGACCATGACAATCAGAGAGATCTTAGGAAGCAAAATCAGGCGTCTCCAGGCCAGGCCACTCTTTTGGGTCTTCTAAATTCCATTTTGGTTTTAGAAATGCCCTTGTTCCAAATGTTTCCCATTTAAGTACACTGATGGAGCAGTACAGATATGCATGCCAGGGCAAAATATGGCAGCAGTAGAAGCTGACAGAGCTAATTTTCCATTGTTTTGCCAAAACAGCTTGGTCCATCCCTTTGGATTTGGAATGCAGTCAGCTTATTAACAGAGAATAGGCAACTGTAGCTTCCTAAGTTTTGTTCACAGGTCGCTGTGTGGTTTTTATGTCATGAGAAGTTCCACTGAGAGACCACCACCCTAAAGAGGCTCCCATATGGGATGTCTTTCAGGTCCACTGTTTGAAAAGAGCCATAAAAAAATAGCAGGCAAAGCACATCATGCAATTCCTAGAAAATTAACACATTCATGAGAGGCTATACATGCATGAGTATCCCATGATCCCATGATGCCTGACAGGGTAATCATGCATGTACTACTGGGTTCAAGGTGACAGGAATACATTAGATATCTTAGATCTCCACCACGTTACATGGCTTGGACACACACACACACACACACACACACACATACACACATACACGGAACTTAAAAGAGGGCACATCTGGAAATAGGGGTAAGCACACACTTGAACTTGGGCTGCAATTGTCCCAGGAGCTCTCCCCCAGCCTGGCAGGTACAGGAGAGGCAATGGGAGCAGGGGCTTTCCTGGCCCTGAGGTGCTGCTCACCATGTCCATTCTACTGTGCAATTACAGAATCAATAAAACATCCCCTTGAAACTCCCTGGACTAGTGCCGACATGCAGACAGTAGTCATCTGACGCTTTTTTACTATTTCCGTTATTGCAGCCAGCCAGCAAACACGAGGAGAAGACATCAAAACTGAGGCAGGGGCTAGGGCTAAGGCAGCGGCTGGGAAGTCCTGCTTCGTGCAAGATGCCTTGTGCCTCAGATGGTCGCGCATCAGCAGCCACCTCATCCTTGAGTGGAGGGCCATCAGACCACAGTGACGTCACAGTTACATAAGAATACTGCAGGAAAAACTCCATGAGAGTCTGCATCCTGTCTTCACCTCTGTGAGTAGGGGCAGGGAGGAGCAGCAGCAAGACATTATTTTTTAAGAAAAAGTCTTGAACAGGCTCACCTGAGAGGCTTTTTTTTTTCTTTTTTTGTCTGCTCTGAGCATTTCAGGAATCACAGGCCTGTGCCAAGAAGCAGGCAGCGAGGCGGAACTCGGCACTGGTATGAGCTGCTCGTGAGAACTTGGGGGCGGGGGACGGGTGGAGGAGAGGGGGGTACCAAAACGTCCCTGTCCATCTGTTGATGTCTGGGCAGCAGAAAATATTGGACTAGAAATAGAAAGTTAGAAAAATGCTTCAGAGCAAAACCTGAAAGAGTATTGTATTTGAAAAGGAAATGTTAGACTGATTGTATAAAAATGGAAAAACAGAATTAACATGTTCCATAATGATTCGTCTGTGTTAACTAAATATTGAGCTGAGATTTGGTGAAACCCTCAAAATAAGATTCCTGAGGAAGTCAGTGTCACCAGGAATCATCAGCATCCGTGGGGAGAGAAAGTGCCTTGAGTGTTCGCTCTCACTCACCTGGCTGGGACATTAACAGTTACAGGACTTGGTTAAATAATGTCAAAAATCATGTGTGATTTATTTTTCACTCAAAAACCCCAAGACAAGCCCATTACCAGCAGCCCTCAAACATATTTGCATATCAGTGAAAAACAAAATTCAAAACCTTTCCAAAGCTACTTCTGCTCTACTGGGAAGCAAGAAAGGCTGGCAACTCTAAAGCAAGAATCTCTATCCTTCAACACAAGAGCTTTGCTCAGACTGCCCTGCCAAGCTGACCACAGTCTCAGCAGAGAAAGACCACCCTGCTAGTGAAGCAATTCAGGATTTTACCAGTTCTCCTCTAACCGTACCCCAAAATAGCCAGTCCGTACCACAGAAAGCCTGGCTTGGAAACTTTGCTGTGTGAACAATTTCGGCATTGCTAGCTCAACCTGACAGTCCTTACTTATAAAATAAAGACCACAGCCATGCACACATAGTAAAATGAGCAGGCGCAAATCTGGCGCAGTACTGCAAGCCGAGTGAATAATAGTACAAAAATATCAAAAAAAGAAAGGTTATGAAATTTTATAACAGATGACAAATTGGTAGCTTTTCCCTGCTTTTCTGGAAAGGATTCAGTAACAGATTTGAATCTTGGGCTTTGACGCTTGTCTGTGATATGCAGGGATCCCAAGTTCAAGGGAAAAAAAAAAACAGGAGTCATCTGTACACTACTTCACTTTCAGCAGTGACATCCTTTGCGATTTAGTCTAGAAATTATTTGGTTCCTTATTTAATCTGCCCTTATTTAAAACTACATTAAAATTTTAATGTTCAATTTTGGGATCTTCTGTATTTCAAGCTCCCAGACTTAGCCCTAAAAGATGAACCTACCTGCTCTGATTCCAGGAATGTCATCTTGTTCTGCCACCTTGGGAGAGAAGCTCAGAACTCTGCCGTATGGTGCCTGTCTGTCGCCCAAGCTCTTGAGCTGTGGGGGAGGCAGCCACGCTTTTCTGGGACTATCAGCACGGTCAAAGTGTGCACCTCACGTTTACTGGCCCAGCTGCCTTTCAAGCAATGGAGCAGCCATACCTACTCCCCACAAACCACAGGGACTACACACTTGCACCAAGGGGCCTCCTTCTTCCTCTCAGAAAGTACCTTCCCAGGCTTCTCCCCAGCAGGCTCATCTCACTTCAACAAAACCTTCAAGAAACCTAGTGGGAGGCAGCTTGCTGGGAGGTAGGGACCAAGAAGTAAGGGGCATCCAGCCCCTGCCTGCCATCAGCTCAAGCCATCCAGGGAGGAAGGCAAGCACACCACCTCCAGTGATAGCAGAGAGCTCATGGCTATTTCTGTCCAGTCAGTTAAAAGGAAATCAAGGAACTTCAGGGAAAGAAAGGCCATGAGGAACAAGAGACCATGTGTCAGGATGTGTGTGCCCACGAAGAGCCTAGGTGTGGAAATAGTCTTGCCAAGTTACATTTCACTCCAGTGACTCTCTACTGCCCACTGAGCTGACACACAGGACTCAGTGCTCACAGTGTGCCGGGCACTGGGCTAGGCACTCAAGACCTCGCCGTGACTTGCACTCACTTTACAGGATAGAAAAACTGAAGTTCTGAGGCTAAGATAACTTGCCAGGGTCACCAAGCTAGTGATTCAGAAACAAGGATTCAGATCTTAGTCCAGGGCTGGGGAACCTATGGCACACACCCAGCTGTTATTACCGAAAGCTCCAAACACACTTGCCATCACTGTCCTCTTCCATCCTGTCTCACACAGCCCTATCACACAGTCTGAATGTTTATTTCAACTAAACACATTTTCCAACGGTTTGGGCTGAAGTTAATGCAAACTGAAGAGCTCTGAACAGCAAGTTCCTCATTTCACAGGTAACGAATACTGTACATCCAGAGAGCAGTGGAAGTGAACTTTTCCAGTATGCCACCATGGGTCCAATTCAGAATCTAAACCCCCTGGCCTTTTTCCTAACTATATTTTTCTTTCCTGGGATTTACTCTGACTTCACTGTGTATGTTACAAGGGAAACTAAAACTATTGAATGAAAAAGAAAGACTAAGTCTAAACCCCACCCTGCAGGAAGTTTCTCCTCCCAGTCTGCGCACCAGTGTCAATCTCTAGACCATCTAAGGAAGAAGAGAATGTACAACAGGACCATGGGACCCCCTAAGGCTATTATTCATCTGTAAACAACTAGCTGCAGAGAGGGGTGACTCCTCAGAGAGATGGCACTTGTACCACAGCTGCAGGAACTGCAGTTCCCCAGAGCACTAGGCAACAGCACAGAAAGGGTTTGCAGCAATCAGCGTTGAGGACTGCGGCATTTACAGATCCTCAGATCTCCACAGGGGCCAGAACAGGCCCCTAGCACAGACCTAACATTTTCCCTTTTGCTGCTCCCCTGAATCTGTCCAGTTGATTTTTCCACCTCCTCCCCAGCCAGGCACAGAACATTTTCCCCTTTCCCTTCCCTGAACCACTGTGTGACCTTGTACCCCTCCCTGCATTCAAAGCACAATCAAGGCACCCCTCCCGGGCCCTGGCCCAGTGACCCTCATTCTTCTCTCCCTTCGGAAGCTTCCTTTTCCTGTCCCTCCCAGTCTAATAATCTGCTCCTATTCCACTGGGTCCCCTGGTGGCGCCCCACCTAGCAGGGCAAGGCCTGCACTGGCTCTGATATCCTCGCTGTCCTTTCCATCAGTCTGGGCCTGATATAGGAGGTGCCTGTAGCACCAAAACCCTGGAATTAGGAGCAAGGGACTAGTTGTCATAGCCTTGTGCCACCCACAACCCCCTTGCCTCCACAAAGGGGGAAAAAAAGCAGGCTCTCAACATTTACATTTATGCTAGAGCTTTGAGTGTGGCGCTCCTAAGTCTAGCCTTCAAAGCAGTTCAACACTTAACTCTGACAGGAAATGTGAACATGTTAAAAAAAAAAAAAAAAAACCAACCATGATTTGGCTGAGGAGTTGTTCTTTGCAATGCTTCCAAGGATGTACTTGAGTCTAAGCTGTAAGACCGACAAAATAGCACTGAATTTGATGATTCTGATGGCCACAACACCCTGGTCATCTGGTACCCACACTGGTCTTTTGAATCCTCAGGTGTTGTTAAAAATAAGAAAGAAAAGAAAAGAGAGACAGACAGACTTGTATGATTTCCTTTTCCCCACCTCCCCTCACAAAACAAGCCAATCATCGATGACAGTAGATTTAGAAGATTTATACCTAAGACTTCAGTCATCAAAGAGTGAAAGCCAAGTCATAAACTGTTGATATACAAGGACTCTGAAGGAACTATAGCAAGTCAGCCTAAATCAGCCTAGTCACTCTAGGCATTGTTTTTAAAACTATAAAATCAAAGAGTAAATGCCAGACTTCTGATATACTCCTTTTCTTCTAAATACACAAACATTATGTACATTCATCAGAACCAAGTACTGCCTCGTTTTTGTGGCTCTAGCGCACACAGACTCTGTCAGGGAAACAACTTTATGGATTCGGTCACAAGAAATGAACACATTCATAGGCCCCCAGTACATTCAGTATCTGACACACACTTCACAGAGGGCAGGCCAGTGAGACTTTGTGCAAGAGAGGAAAGGTCTGCAACCTAAAATAAAAACACACATTAAAAATGTGCATGCTGAACAAACAGAATATAAAATGGGTTAACAGGGGCTCTGTTTTCCTCGCTGGCAAGATAAGTTCTCTCTGGTTTGCCATGGGGATGGGAAACTGCTTACTTCTCCATCACTCAACAGCTGAGCTTCCCTGTGAGTTCTCTCTTTGCTGACAAGTTGGCTGGACGGGTATGAATGCTTCAGCCAGCAGGTAAGCAAAGGTGTGCCTGTGCTCACCTGCACGCTTAGATATCACCAGCCATATAGCCACGCGTCACAAAAACCTAAGCCCATGAAACTGCTTCCTGGATGGCTGAAACTTCAGTTGTTTACCTTCATATGCCTCAAGTTAGTTTCGGAAAATCACTTAAAAATCAAGTATTAGGGCTGGAGATGTGGCTCAGTGGTAGAGTTCTTGCCTTGCACGTACAAGGCCCTGGGTTCAATGGCCCAGCACAACCAAAAAAAAAAAGCCCTAAGCACTATGAAGAATATTTCTACTACTCAGCACTTTCTAAAAAACAACAACGAAAATCACTATGCAAGATCCCCTAGGTAAAGCATCAAGAGAAGATTCAAGAAGAGCAATCAGTTCTGATTCAAGTTTACAGTCAACCTTCAAGAACCAGGGCAGAGACAGACAACTGCAGAAACACTTAAGGAGAAGAAAGTGTCAACTGTCAAATGAAAACTGGAAAATACTGATGCTAGGAACTAGACAGAGGGCATCTGTCTACCCCTAGCAGGCTGAGGGCCTCGGAAAAGCCCTTCCCACTCCTGCTCCGAGGAGACTATCTGCACACATCCTTCACACTGCACTTGACCACATCTACTCAGCTGAACTCCCAAAGTCTCCAAAACAAGAATCTAGAAATCAGCTTCTGGCCCCAGGGCTCATGTGAAGTCCTGCATATAAGGTTTTTGTGCATAAGCAAGATATAATGCTATTTACGCAAGCTAAAGAAATATACACCAAAGCAGTACACTGTTTCCACGTGGTATCCAAGTAGAACAGCTTCCAAGACTCCCTTCAGATATCAACCCCCATGAAAGGTCAAGTTCCTTACATAAAATGGTTTACACAAAACCTATGGACATTCTCCATATAATTTATCTCTAGATTACACATAACACCTAATATAATATACATGTTATATAGAAAGTTATTCTACTATACTATTTAGGAATTACAACAAGGAAAAAAGCTGTATATCACACAATCACCTTGTACTATAAGTTCAATGCAAGGTTAGGTGAATTTGTGGGTATGAAATCCCCAGATACAGAGGGCTGACTGTAGATCCTGTGGTCACTTGTATGAAAAAAACAGTAAAACCGGGAGGAAGTGTATACACTTTAAGAATACTGCATGCACATATGCATGTGTGTATATAAAGAGATGGACTGGGGGTTATACTTACATGGTGTAGTTAAAGACTTCGTTTTCAGCTTTTTTTTTAAATCTATCGGTAGCAGGAATTGAACTCACGACTACCTGCTTGCAAGGCAGGCACTTATGCTGCTGAGCTAAATCCCCAGCCCCAGTTAAAGACTTCTTTTCTCACAAATGTTGTGTTTCTTAAAAGTATAGGCTTGGGATGAATTTGACCAAATGTCAACAGTTATGGATTCTAGGTGGCAGGAGACTGTACACTTGTTTTGCACTCCCACATGCCCACACACACACAAGTAGAGAGATTCAGAGACTTCCATATTCGCCGTGGGTCCAAAACACTAAAACAGTTTAAAAGCCTCTATCATCTCCATATTGTTCAACTCCATAGCACTTCTATAGTTCAAATGTTGATAATAAATAATCTTTTATTTTTAACTGTTGATATTTCTCCTCCCCAACTACAGACTAAATTTTCAGAAGCCAAGAAACATAATTTCTCCCAGCTTACCACCTCAGCCCATACACTCAGTAAATACTTATTTAAGACCAAGAGACATCAAACAAAATCAAGCAAGGAGACTGACACGCTTACTTTTCTTTCTGGAAATGAATTACTCTAAAAATGCAGCCAATACTGGTTTCCACAGCAAGAGTTGTTCATTGAGCATGCAAGCGGACATGCACACCGGCAAAACAAAAATTTAATTTAGTGTTTTTATGTTAAGAGTTTAAAGTAACAAACTTGAAGACAAAAAAAAAAAAAAAAAAGGGATCCTCCACATAGATAGCCTCTTATTACACAATTTTTAAAACATTTTGATTTTAATTACCACGGTGTATAGATTCACACTATGTATGAATTTATAATTATTCCCGTAAACCACTTCCCAAAACTGGACTCCTGGTACAGGTTCCTCAATTCCACAAAGAGTCCTGTGTTCTCATCAACAATCAACCCCAATCACCACCCAACAAGTTTAATTTGGAAAACTCTACTTATGTCAGAGTTCCCTGAGAAAATAAAGATATGCACTGCTTCACAAAGGTCTGTAAATTCCAACTGCTAAAATGAACATAACAATTGAGCTTGCAGAAGCCAATGTTTCCCAACTCAATTTAACCATGGAATAGTTTCTGCATGGAATAAATTAATACGTTAGGAACATGTGGTCTGAGGCACATGGTGTAGGACACGCCTGCCCTTGTGATGATAATACCTTCTGGATTTAACAGTACATCCACATTTCAATTATCCAGTCCCACTGTTCCCATAAATATGATTCACTCTCATAAAAATCAGAAATCTTATTTTAGATTCATAAAATGTGGTCCCTATTATAAAGTCATGTACAATGGTACCTCAGTTTACAAATTTAATTTGTTTTATAATTTTAGGGGAGATGGCTGCAAATGTGTTTGTGTGGGGAAGATGGCTGTGGTCATGTCTGTCACCCAAAGTGGAGTATGTGAACATAAGTAAAATTTTACCAAATGCTTTTGTTTGCCAACCAAATTAGCTGCAAACAGAAATGTTTGTGAACTGAGAGGTATTACTGTATTTGCACAAAACTCTTATGAACTGACTCACATATCCCCCTATAGTATGAAGAAAACTTCAAGCATTAACTTCATCAAGCTTCCAATGTTAAACCAATTGTCCTCACAAACCAAATCCAGACCACATCCTCAAAGAGTGGTAAGAATACACCAAAATACCAGGGTACCAAATTCTGCTTCACAGTCTTAACCTTCCCAAGGTGCGATTTGTGTACATGACAAATACCAAATGTGTATTCTAATAATTTTCTTCTTATAACTCAAGACGCCCATCCAAAACATAGGAAGCAAAAACTTCAGCCCCATGACTAACCAAAGAAATATTATACAATGCAATCACATTAGGAACATTTCCCTATATAATACCCTGTATGATTGGAGCTGAAGGCAATGGACCTTTACATACAAAGCTAATAGGGAACACACAAGGTATCATCATTCTAAAACACTGAAAGAGTAATTTCAGACTCCTTCATCCAACAATTTCACCTCTAAGAATGTATGAAAAGGAAAACAAACTGTGCACATACAGACAAAAAAGGAAAACAAACCTTGTACACATACAGATATCTTCAGTACCAGCAGCCAATAGCTATTCTCCCTTCAACTCACCCCATTCACCAAATATAGCTGTGGCTTCTCATCAGGACAAGAAGGGGGAATAGGCTTCAGTCACACAACACCTGGGCACACCACAAACAAGAGGTCATCAGAGACACTCAGCAGTAGCTTCACTACCCTTACTGTACCTAGCAGAACATGCCAATCCAGAGGGCAAAGAGCGCATGTGCTTCCATCTGAGATGACCACGTGATCACAGGCATCCTTGGACACCTTTGGGAGTAAAAAGAAAGGAACCCTGCTGGATCTGAATTAGGGCCTAGGAGACATGAAACCCATACACATAAAAAGAAAAGCTTGGATCTAAGCAGGCTGTGCACAGGAGATTCAGGACAGCAAATTCAGGGAAAGTCCTAGGATCATCAGATGGGAAAGGCAGAGAACTAAAATAAACTAAAAGTTAAGCGTATTGTTTTCAGAAGAAATGTGCTTGCAGGATTCCAGTACTGGAACCTAGGTCTACTATTTCTATGAAAAGTATGTATTAAAATAAAACAATAGAACAATTTATGACCTTCAAAAAATGAACATCTCCTACATGCTTCATTAGGCACAGGAATTTTAAAGGATGTAACAACACATAGACTCTTTAACACTAACGTATTTGGTTTTCTGGTTTTGTTCACCCTTGGACTCACCGCTCTTTAAAAAAAAAAAAAAAAAAACACTATGTCCGAATGAATGAATGATGCTGTATCATATTCTTCCTTTTCTCCCAACCTCACTAATGTCAACTACACTGGCCTGGAAAAGCTGGTGTCTCTGTGTTACTTTTAAAAATGTGAAACAGCAAGACTAGTCCTGCTTCTATGTATTTATCTCCCTTTAAGAATAACCTGCTGCGGCATCAGTCTCTGTGCATTCCATTATCGCTGCTGACACTCACCGTGCTTGCCCACAGCAGAGGAACCTCTGGCTCACAAAAGGATTTAGCATCCTAGCACAGTAGGGATTATGACTTCTGGTCATGTTCTTCAGGCTCCCCTCCACTTACATAATTTGGAAGTCCAAATATTGAGGCTGCTCCTCCCTTGGGTAGTTTGGACCTCACTTGTACACTGTGGTGCGGATACTAAAATCTACTACTCATCATGAGGCTTTGGTAGGCCCAGTCTGCAAACAGAATTACATAGATTTTCGAGAGGTTTCAGTCTAATTTTGAAAAAAAAAAAAAACATAGCAGTCTCCATAGATACCAGCTTTTCAACATATTGCTTTTCTGCTCTCCTGTTTTCTTACACCAAGAATGTCAATGCAGAAAGGGAATATTTATAAGTAAATCACACAGGCTTAAGGACGATGTATCCCACCCATACCTCTACACCCCCACTGATGCAGATCACAGAGCAGCGCGGAAGGCCACAGGGATGTAGGAGGCCAGGAATGGAAGCCTGCGGCCGGATCCACCACATACTTTCCAGAGCACTCCTGGAAAGAAAACACCAGCTCAGTGTCCACATGATACCTCTTCCTCTTCACTGCTTCATTAAATTGCATGAGGATATGGCTGTCTCTGCAGGTGGCAGACAGGCACAGAGGGACTTCCATAGATGCCCAACTCAGACAAACTCTACCAGACTATGAGCAGCCCAGGTTCAAGTGACCACGTAGTCAAGTCGTGGTTATGGCTCCCTGAGCTCCGCTTAGAAAACTGGGACCACAGATGCACATGATTGAATTTCACTGATTCCTGGGAATGTTTTTGTTGTCCACGCCCATAAAGGAGGTGTGAGAGATTCAAGAGCAGCTTTAATGAGGTAAAATCCTCCAAAGGGTTGTCAACTCTATTTCACTGGCAAAGACAGGGTAAGAGCATCTAAAAAGAAAAACTAGAAGCATTACATGACCAGCTAATCCACCTCTGAGTACACATTCAGAGGAACTCAAAGTAGGGTTGCTAAGAGGTTTTTGCACACTCCTATTTATAGAAATACAATAGCCAAAAGGTGGAAGCAACCCAAGTCTCTGCTCAAAGATGAATGGGTAAACTAAATGTAGTATACACCTGCAGTAGAGTATCATCCGGCCTTAAATAGAAAGAAATTCTGATACATGGTACAGTACAGATGAACCCTGAGGACAGTGCTCAGTGACATAAACCAACTGGGGAGGGCGAGCACAACTAGTGACTGACTCTGGGTATAAGAGTTACTTAGAACAGTCAAACTCACTAAGACAGACAGCAAAACACTTCTGGGATCTTAAGGGAGGAGAAAATAGGAAATTGTCATTTTATGGATGTAGTTTCATTTTTGCTAGAAGAAAAAGTTCTGCAAATTGTGCAAATATGAACATACTAATTGAGGCATATGCTTAAAATACTAAAGATATGTTCTGATATGCGTATTTTATTACAATTAAAAATTGAAAATAGGGCGGGGTGTGGCTCAGTGGTAGAGCAATTGCTTAGCATGTATGAGTCCTTGTGTTCAATCCTCAGTACTACAAAAATAAAAATAAAGAAGAAGAAAATGGAAAAATATGTAAGACTCTGATCCTCACATCTTAAAGGGAAAGTGCTAATAAATGAGCAGCATATAAGAGGTATATTTTAGAAACTCTCCCCTGTGAGATTACAGGACAAGACATCAGTAATACTGTTGACTGGTTTGTTCCTTATGCAGCCTCTTGTGTAATTCTTTTTCCACATTCTAAACAAGAGACCCCGTTTTGCAGCACCTCAGTTAGAATAACTTGGCAGATCATGACACAACTCACTGGCTAGACTGTGATCCAGATGAGTCCCCCTCCTGGGTGGCTGTCTCAGCCAGGTACATGTTTCAGTGTATGAAGGCAGGTTTGAATGCCACACTGAGATGAGGCCCAAGGGGATGGTGAAGGGCTCTACTGGGCAGAGGCTAGGGAGGCTGGCATCCACTCCATAATGCACAGAATAAAGAACTCTCTGGGCCCCAATGCTTACAGTGTTGAAGTTAAGAAAGCCTGTTCTAGATGTGCCTAGAGATCCACAAAACAGGACTTCGCATAATGTTCTTTCTCCCAACAGATGACTAAATACTCTAAGACATGTGACTTCATCCAATCCCCATTCTCAGGTGAGTGGCACTGCTATGCCCCCAGGGTTATTGGCTGGGCAGCACTTTTGAAGGGCTTAAGTCACGCCACTATGGGGACAGTTTTGGTGGTTCTATTGAGTCCCTCAAGAGGCTTGGCAGCCTGACAAGCTCACCCAGACTACAAAAGAATTTTCTGATTTTGTGGGAAAGTAATATTTTCCATATTTTATAAAGGTTATT